GCTAGTAGCTTTTTATCCCCCACCGTTTTCCTCTCCGGAACATCAACGGTTGCATATGTTGTGTCCAGTACGCGCTCTGCGCATCTACATGGACAGGACTAAGGGATTTAGGAAATGTGATCAGTTGTTTGTTTCCTGTGCGAAACCTCACACAGGTAAAGCCCTCACTAAACAACGCCTATCCCACTGGATAGTGGGGGCTATTGCTTTGGCCTACTCAAGTAGTCTTCAGTCTCCTGCTGGCCTATGGGCTCATTCCACTAGAGGAATGGCTACGTCCTGGGCTTTATTTAAGGGCATATCTATCCAAGATATTTTCTCAGCAGAAAGTTTAGCTTCGCCTCATACATTTGCAAAGTTTTATAGGCTCAATGTCACTGCACCGACCCTGGCGCATACTGTTTTATGTGTAGTATCTTCTGAAGGGCAAAGCCCATTTGTGTGGTATATCACACAGGGCAGTCGGTCGTCAGGATAAGCTTGTCTGGCAATACGGGAGTCAGTATATCCCATAAGTGAAATACCGAAACGAATACTTGAAAGAGAACTTTAGGTTATGACTGTAACCCCGGTTCTCTGATAGTATGAGTGAGGTATTTCACCAGACCACCTTCCTTGCAAGAGCGAGGAAGAGGTGTGGCTTATTTTTGAGTGACTCAGAGATGCTGAGTCAGACCTTTTTTAGGGTAGGAGGGACATCCTTCCCCGACACACACGTCTCGATGTCCAGCCAATCATGGCTGGCGTGGCGTAGTGTAATAAAGGCTTCTGACGAATACGCTGGGGGTGTATCCCATAAGTGAAATACCTCACTCATACTATCAGAGAACCGGGGTTACAGTCGTAACGTAATGTTTTCTTGCAGACATTGGCTGTGAAGTTGCTAAGTTGGTTGGTAAGTACAGTTGAAGTCGGAAGTCTACATACACCTTAGCCAATATATTTAAACTCAGTTTTTCACAATTCCTGACATTTAATCCTAGTAAAAATTCTCCGTCTTAGGTCAGTTAGGATCACCACTATATTTTAAGAATGTGAAATGACAGAATAATAGTAGAGAGAATGATTTATTTCAGCTTTTATTTCTTTCATCACATTCTCAGTGGGTCAGAATTTTATATACACTCAATTACCCCCACAGCATGATGCTGCCACCCCCGTGCTTCACGGTTGGGATGGTGTTCTTCGGCTTGCAAGCATTCCCCTTTTTCCTCCAAACATAACGATGGTCATTATGGCCAAACAGTTCTATTTTTGTTTCATCAGACCAGAGGACATTTCTCCAAAAAGTACGATCTTTGTCCCCATGTGCAGTTGCAAACCGTAGTCTGGCTTTTTTATGGCAGTTTTGGAGCAGTGGCTTCTTCCTTGCTGAGCGGCCTTCCAGGTTATGTCGATATAGGACTCATTTTACTGTGAATATAGATACTTTTGTACCTGTTTCCTCCAGCATCTTCACAAGGTCCTTTGCTGTTGTTCTGGGATTGATTTGCACTTTTCGCACCAAAGTACGTTAGTCTCTAGGAGACAGACCGCGTCTCCTTCCTGAGCGGTATGACGGCTGCGTGGTTCCATGGTGTTTATACTTGCGTACTATTGTTGTGGTACCTTCAGGCATTTGAAAATTGCTCCCAAGGATGAACCAGACTTGTGGAGGTCTACAATTTTTTTCTGAGGTCTGCTGATTTCTTTTGATTTTCCCATGATGTCAAGCAAAGAGGCACTGAGTTTGAAGGTAGGCCTTGAAATACATCCACAGGTACACCTCCAATTGACTCAAATGATGTCAATTAGCCCATCAGAAGTTTCTAAAGCCATGACATAATTTTCTGGAATTTTCCAAGCTGTTTAAAGGCACAGTCAACTTAGTGTATGTAAACTTCTGACCCACTGGAATTGTGATACAGTGAATTATAAGTGAAATAATCTGTCTGTAAACAATTGTTGGAAAAATTACTTGTGTCATGCACAAAGTAGATGTCCTAACCGACTTGCCAAAACGATAGTTTGTTAACAAGAAATGTGTGGAGTGGTTGAAAAACAAGTTTTAATGACTCCAACATAAGTGTATGTAAACTTCCGACAAGTAACGTTTACAACCATGTAAATATTTGTATATTTTTCCATTTGTTTGCTGATAAATATTTGAAACTTGCTTGAATCGGCTGTAAATGTATACATTTGCATATTAAATGCAAGTACAATTTTCAATTGACTGAAATTGACTGTTCAGTTGCCCAGTTCCTTACTGGTCTTAACCCCTTCCCCCTAGCCATTAATATTTTGTGCCCAATTCCAAATCAAATTTTAGGCCAGGGTTGGTATGGAATTGGACATTGGTTTCTAGTTAGTGTTTGCATATCTGTATGTTCTAGATTTATGTACGTAATACGGCAGAAGTGTCCCGGAGTCCATTACACAGCAGGGTTGAGTCATCACCATATTGCTACACCTATCCAAGCCCCATCAGGTCAAACATTAAAAAGATAGAGTAGGGGGTTAAAGGCCTTAATTAAACTGGGTTTAAAAAATATATACTTTAAAAAAAAACGTATCTCTGCCTGTACCTTGATGTGGTGAGAGGGCTTCCAACTAAACCAGGCCCATGTTATTGAAAATGAAGTATCCATTATGTTTGCTTTTCCATCCCACCACCCCTGACTGAGACTGGCTGCCTGTTGAGAACAAGTAACAGACAGAACCTCCCAACCACACAGCACCCACCTCTCTATTCCACACACCAGAATTAAGTATTACAGTCTGATTGCCAAAAGTATAAAAGTTTATGTATTAAAATCTTAAATATTGCCAGGTTTGGTTTCACAGCTGTTTCACAAGGTGTTCATTATTGTAAGTTGGAAGGTATCCTTTGATGGTATTTATTTGTTCCACATTATTCATTGTTGTATCCTAGGACCTACAATAGACACATATACTGTATATTCAACCACAAGGGTGTACTAATGAGCTATGCGAGATATAATTTTTTTTATCATAATAGAGGACTACTGAAATTATATTATTTCAGTGTAGATAAGGGAAGGGCAGGTTAAAATAAAAACATGACAGCCAGATAAGCCAGTGTATGATTCAAACGGATTTGCATATGAATGGAGTGGAAATTAGCTGACTTCATGATCTGTAAATTAAGTAACTTTAATGTGTCAAGCAGATTACAAGTTTTCTTTGCCATTTCCGAAACGTAGCAACGTTTAAGACATGGATTTCATGTTGTAATGTTAACAAGGTACCCAAAACTGGTTAGAATTCATGTTTTCATTTTATTAGCTAAACAAAACTTGTTTAAACAGCAAAATTGTCGTGGAAATCAGCCTTGTTTGCATAGCGATGATGAAAAGAACGTAATTTAGGCTGTAATGATCTCCAAAATTCGAATCATTAGCTCATCACACCGTTGATATAGCAACGGACTCTAATAGTTTATCGAATCCCATTGTGACACAGAGGGGGACACTATTTGGCCGGGGGAGATTATTTGGCATGACAGGCCCATGCGTATCTTTTCAGCCTCCTGAGGGGGAAGAGGCGTTGTTGTGCCCTCTTCACAGCTGTGTTGGTGTGTGTGGACCATGATAATTCCTTAGTGATGTGGACACCGAGGAACTTGAAGCTCTCGACCTGCTCCACTACAGCCCCATCGATGTGGATGGGGCCGTGCTCGTGTAACCGGTGTGAAATGGCTAGCTTGTTAGCGGTGCGCACTAGTAGTTGTTTCCCTTGGTCTGCAAGGGTCTCTGCTTTTGTGGAGCGACGGGTAATGGTGCTTTGAGGGTGACTGTTGTCGATGTGTGCAGAGGGTCCCTGGTTCAAGCCCAGGTAGGGGCGAGGATAGGGACGGAAGCAACACTGTTACACTCAGCCCTGCGTTTCCTGTAGTCCACGATCAGCTCCTTTGTCTTGCTGACGTTAAGGGAAAGGTTGTTGTCTTGGAACCACGCTGCCAGGTCTCTGACCTCCTCCCTGTAGGCTGTCTCATCGTCGTCGGTGATCAGGCCTACCACCGTTGTGTCGTCTGAAAAGTTAATGATGGTGTTGGAATCGTGCGCGGCCACACAGTCGTGGGCGAACAGGGAGTACGGGAGGGGACTAAGCACGCACCCCTGAGGGGCCCCCGTGTTGGGGGTCAGCGTGGTGAATGTGTTGTTGCCTACCCTCACCACCTGGGGTGGCCCGTCAGGAAGTCCAGGATCCAGTTGCAGAGGGAGGTGTTTAATCCCAGGGTCCTTAGTTTAGTGATGCGCTTGGAGGGCACTATGGTGTTGAACGCTGAGCTGTAGTAAATGAACAGCATTTTCACATAGGTGTTCCTTTTGTCTAGGTGGGAAAGGGCAGTGTGGCGTGCAATAGAGATTGCATCATCTGTGGATCTGTTGGGGTGGTATGCGAATGTGGTTTCAGGGTGGGTGAAAATAGAGTTGGGTGCTGTGGAATCGGTGAAGGTAACCAGAAGTGGTCTTGTGGTAATTGTTTGTGTTTCGAGCATTTGTGCCGAATACATTACGTTGTTACAGGTGTCAAGCTTATGGGCATGTGGCAGCAGTGTGTAGGAGGGAGGTGCCTAAGTGTGAGAAGTGTGCAGAAGGGCATGAGACCAAGAATTGTGTAGCATTGGGGAAAGTAGTGGTATGTGTTAATTGTAGGAGAAAATGCAGGTTGTGGTGGCAGCTGCAGAGAGGTATTTGGGTGTACGAGAGTTGACGTCAGAAGAGTTACAGGGTGTGTTGATTGGTTGTTGTCCTGAGGTAGGACTAGATATATTTCAATAATAGAGTAGGGTGGTGGGTTTTTAGTGAGTGTAGGGTGAGATGGTAGGGTATTTGTTGATTTATTTTATTTTTGATTTATTATTATTTATTTTTTCAAGCGAAGTAAAAGGGAGGTATACTCCAGTCTAGTAGGTGGCGGTAATGCAAAATGTATTGGATGCCAACCGACGTTCAATCTCATCGAATAAGAAGTCAGCCACACGAAGAAGACGTATCTCAGGCTGGTCTATCAGCTCCCCGCTCTTTAACGTTAGTTAACCAGCTAGCCTAACAGAGAGTTGTTGTGGCTAACAAAGCTAGAAATTGCTAGCGTGTACTGTAGCTAGTTAGCTATCTCTGGGCTTGGCTCTTATACCGGCGAAGTCATAATAAGATAATTACTGTTGTTGTTTATTCCTGTGACTATAAAATGGCGGAAAAGCCAGAGGCTGGAGACAGCGAAGACGAGGTTGAAGATGTATACGAAGTGGAGAGGATTATTGACATGCGAACGGAGGAGGTACAGTAACGAAGCAAGCATGTTGTTAACTAGCTAACTTGGCTAACTGAACGTTCGAGCAAACTGAACGTTGTTGCTAGCTAGCTATCTACACAATTTGACAACAATGAAAAGGTTTAAACACTAGGAACCGTGTTTTCTTAAGTAAACTGTAAATATATGGCTAGCTAACGTAGAGAAATGCTTAAATGTCCACGCACAGTTCACTTATGTATAATAACAACAGTTAGCTAGCTAACTAGCCAACCGCAAAGGAAATGTCAATGGCTGCACAACTTTGCCCAGGCATCCGACGCCCCCCTCCTTGTACGAACAGTAAAGCTAGGCCAGACAGACTGGTGTTATTATTTCATCCTTCAGGACTTCAGCTAGCCCCACTGTTGCACAGACTTGCCAAATACAACAAACCCTCCGTGCTAACGCATGTACAACCAACTCGTAATTGTCTTTAATTAGCTAACTAGCTACATGTGCTAGTTAGCTTACTACGTTAGTTTGTTAGAAAGCGCTAACGTTAGCGCTAACTGTCCGTAGTAGGCAGCTGCGGATTACTATATTCTGCTGTCATCTTTGTTTTGGTTATGTTGGCTATATATTGACAGTCTCTAGATATGTTCTAGCTAGCTAAATACATTAGCAATGACGCTCTTTTTTTCACGGTACCTAATACAATGGTACAGACCTTTCCTTTTCACGCCTATGAAAATAATGAACAGGTGATGGTGCTCTACAATAATGAGTCGGCATTCTTTGAGTTGTGGGTACAGCCAGGTGTCCTTGCAGAACATTACACTGCTCTCTTCTTGCAGGGTTGCACTGGTTATTCAGTGTTGCAGAACTGCAAATTAGTTTGACATGGACCAGCTGCCTTACCTGATTGACTGCCACAATAACACAGTATAATTAGTCATGCACCGATATGACATTTTTGGCCGATACCAATATCCGATACTTTCTTTGCCAAAAAAAAGATACCGATATTTAAAATTTTAGCGGCCTTTTAAGCGTTCTAGTACAGTTAAATAGTTGAAACAAATTGTAATATGTTCATTTGTTCAGTTAGGAACAGATTGTTTTATAACTTGTAAATGAGAAAAATGACAAATCCATTAATGTATTTTATCGCACAACAGATATTCATGACACAAATATTTTAGCTGCCCCGCATTACAAAGATGGTTAAGTTGTTGGTGGCTCTTCTTACTATCCAATCTTGACTGTATGGAGAAACTTAAATGCTTTGAAATAAATATTGGTTTAAACTAAAATGCAGTTAATCAGTTTAGCTTTAACTGCTTGAAAAAAATACTGTCTATAGGCTATGTCATAAACTGCTATAAATGGCACAATTTAAACTTTTCAAATGTGCTCAACTGACTTGACTAGTAAAATCCAAGCAAATTTACAACACATCTCATCTTTCATTTAGGAAATTAAAATGTAATACAACATATTGCATTATTCTTGCATTCCAAAGGATTATTAGGCATAGATCAACGTTGGCCGATGTAGTAACAGAAAATGAAAATACAACGCGTCTCTCTCTCACAGAGATACTCTGACCAAAAAGTTATTTTGTTGGCATTTACGTATGTCCCCATTACCAGTAAAACATAATCAAAACCTATTTCTTTCACTTACTTGCTGTGCTGTTTCGTTGTTCATTTGTTCAGTCGTTCCATTCTCAACCAGAATTTCATCATACATATCAAGCAGTGACATTTCAGCTCTGTCTGTCTGTGGCCTCTTCTGTCGTGGGTCCTTTTCCTTTGTGCGCACTGTCACTGTGTCCGTTTCCATCTTGTCCAGCTGTGTCTGTAACATTTCACGTAAACACTGTTTCTTGTCTGCATCGAAGTAGCGGTCCTTGTACCTAGCATCGAGCATGGTGGCGACACAGTAAAGAGGCTCAGAGAGAATGCCATCGAATCGCTTGTTCACAGCCTCTAGTAGAGTTTTTTTGCAAGTTTTAACCCCACGGTCTGTGTCAGCAGTTTTGTTGAGCAGGCGTTTCAATGCCATGACATAGGGTATCACGTCTGCTGCAGACGCAGTTGATTAGCTTATTTCTCGAGTCAGTTGTTCAAAGTCCACTGTCAAATTGTCAGAGAACTCTGCAGCCCCTCTCCCTTATCCCCTCTGACTGGAGCTCTCTGTTGTCCCAGTGCACTGGATAGGAGGGTGGGGACTGGAAATACTGGCTGTATGCGGCAGTGCCAGACACAGCCGTTCAGCTGAATGTGTGTTTATCTCAGACGGAGAGCTCTATGAGTAGGCATGGGTCAAATCAGATATATTTGTCACATGCTTTGTAAACAACAAGTGTAGACTAACAGTGAAATGCTTACTTAAGGGTCAATTTCCAACAATGCAGAGTTAATATACAAGGAGTACCGGTACAGAATCAATGTGCAGGGGTACGAGGTGAGGTAATTGAGGTAAGATCTACATGTAGCAGAGTTTCCGTTAGGAAAATGGATACAACGGGGTCGTCATTCTTACCAAATTCCGATGAGCAATTTGAAGACGTTAGAATACATAAGGCTAGTGGAAGCTAAGCTTTCCCTAAAGTAAATTGAATTAAATTGCCAAAATTAGATAGCCTAATTAGTTTACTCATGTCTATACAGAAAGAAAGAAAATCATTTAAAATGGGCTACTACACTAGAAAGCGTAATTTGGCCACAGAGGATCATTTAGCTTCTTTGTTTTAAATCGCGTTGCCTACTGTCAGAAGGGCCCGCAATTTGGGCAGAACGCGCGGCAAATACCAAATGGATGATTGTGGATTTGCGACTGTCAATGAAAAGCTGAGAACCAGGCATATCGCAATATTTAAAAATACAATCGTTGAAAAACAGTTTGGAAAATAAATGGCTATTGCTGTAAATAGAAGACAATGAAAATACTCTAATCTGTCTTTCAGTTATCAAAATTCTCAACTTAATTGAGGGAAAAGTACCGTATCTTATTAGCACCAGCGGAGAACATCGGCCATATCCCCGGTGAGTGTGCATATTCACTGTCTTTATCATTGGGTCGGTGCACTTTTGTTTTTGGACAATAATTCCCTCCATCAGGTTAGAAGGACATCATATTGTATTTGTCTGGCCTTTTCGTAGGCCTAATATATGGATCAGGCAAAGTTGTTTTTATTGATCTGTTTGTCAGTGTATCTGATATAGCCTACTCCAAGCCATTACAAGCTGCATTGAACAGTATTTTTTGCGAACAGTGATTGAGTTATATTACTATCCAATCTAATCATCACGTTAGGAATAGTAGGCTATCTTACAAAAGTCTGCATTTTTATGGTGAAATGTCCTCAAAGCTGGAAACCCACACACTGCCTATGTTAGAATAACTGCCCATATTTACTTCTCCTCAGCCAACAAGACCAGTAATGAACAGCAAAATCACTAGCCTATGTCAATCTACAATCCCCCATAGTAGAAAAGTTGACCTATTCTATTGGTCAGCTTGTCGTTCTGTGCGAGAAAGATATAGCCTATTCCAAACAGACTCTGGGACCGTTGTGGGACGATAATCCCAAATTCATACAACCATTAGTCCTAGGTTATATCCAAAAAACGTTAAAAAGCAATGAGGATAGATAATAAAGAGTAGCAGCAGCAAATGTGAAAGTGTGTGTGTGGCGTTGGGTTTCCATTAGCCGGGATAAGAGCGTCTGCTAAATGACTAAAATGTAAATGTAATAGCCGGCTTTTGTCAGGTGAAAAATAAATAGAAAAGCCAATAAAATTGGCTCCGGGCCAATTGTCCAGGAGAAGAAAAAAATCCCATTACGATATAATGCTTTTTAATCTATTCATTGATGGAAATAGCAGTTGATGTCAAAAGTTTGACTGGTAATGCTTATCAGTCTATAGGTACATTTGCATAATTTAGTGGAATTTAATTGGGGCTTGTGTACAGTATATTTGTTATGCATCCTATTTATCACACGTGTACAGCATACAGAGCCTTTGAGTGGAAAATCTGTCAGTTGGTGTAAGAGCTACTGCTGCAGAATCTTGTGGTGCCTTCAAGAAAACTGGGAACTCGTAAAATACGAGGTCAAATCATGACGTCAGTGATCTTCAGTTCAGAAAGTTGAAGCTTTAGAAAGAGGCCAGAGTTCCTGAGTTGGAATTCTATTCAAAACTATTTTTCCCAGTAGGAGCTCGTTTTTTCCCCAGTTCCCATTTGTCTTGAAAGCACTGAAGTCGGAAGTCTGAGATTTCCGAGTTCTCAGTTTTGAACACCGCATCAAATGGCAACAGAAGCAGGCTTCATCACATCACTTTGCAATGAGCTGGAGGCAGAATGCATTTTGAAAATGTATACTTAATTGTTTGAAACCTGAACGTTTTAATATATATGAGGCATGTCTTGCCTTGATTCAAAGTAGCCTATTAGATCTCCTCTTTTTGTACATTTCTAATGGATATTTTCAATTCTGTCATGAAACCGCTTGCATGTGCAGTGCCCATTTGACAACTGTGTTTTCCTGCTAATTGCATTATGGAATGAACATTTGCTCATAGCCTACTGCCTTGTGCACCTTGCTACGCTTATAATGTGAATAATAGTTTCTCAATTTTAAGCTAAACGTTTTGATCTGTTGCATCAGACTCATTGCTTTTTAACATTTTATTATGTAGCCTAGGCCTACTGGTTGAATGAATTTGGGATCCATCGTCCCAGACTCTGTTTTGTAATAGGCTATTTCTTCTTCGACAAGCTGACCAATAGAATTGGTAGCCTAAACTTTTCTACTATAGTAGATAGAAGTAGGCTAGTGATTTTGCTGTTCGTTACAGGTCTTGTTGGCTGAGGAAAAGTAAACGTGGACAGTTATTCTAACATGTTCAAAGTGCACATCAGAATTCGGTAAGAAGGACCGCACATCGTTACATTCTCGACTTGCATGTTCTGTTAATATGAATTAACATATTCTAAATGTGATTTCTGTCATTCTGAGCACCGTGGGTGGACACCCTAATCAGTTTACGCACCCAATGCATATGGGATTGGTCAATTTCTCAAATGTCCGGTAAATGAAAATGTTGCAGGTCAACTGTCCGGTGCCAGATTTTCCTAACAGAAACCCTGGTGTGGCATCTATGCGTGTGTGTGTGTGTGTGTGTGTGTGTGTGTGTGTGTGTGTGTGTGTGTGTGTGTGTGTGTGTGAGCGTATGTAGTTGTGTATATAGTCTGTGTGTGTTGGAGTGTCAATGTAGTATGTGTGGGAAGAGTCCAGTGAGTGTGCGTAGAATCAGTGCAAATAAAAAGGGGGTCAATGCAAATATTCAGGGTAGCCATTTGATGAACTGTTCAGCAGTCTTATGACTTGGGGTTAAAAGCTGTTCAGGAGCCTTTTGGTCCCAGACTTGGTGCTCTGGTACTGCTTGCCGTGTGGTAGCAGAGAGAACAGACTATGACTTGGGTGGCTGGAGTCTTTGAAAGTTGAGGGCCTTCCTCTGACACCGCCTGTATATAATTTTGTTTTATGCTTATTGCACATTTATAAAGCAGACTACACATCTAGTATAACAGTCTTTGGCAAAAATTCTGCTAGCGGTACCCCAATGCCACGCTTGACTAACTGAATCAATGTTCATTGATACTCACGTTTTAGTAGTGTCTGCTCTGCATGCAATTTGAGGAGTTGAGACATAAAAAGTGTATCGTTGGAAAGGTTAACCTGTCCTCTATTACAGTAAAATAATGTCTGTGTTTCGGTGTCCATATGACCGTTTCTGTTGGACCAAACCTCAAAGGAAAAGAGCAAGTTGAAACCGCTTGTCAGAGAGGAGAAGTGATCTCTCATATTTGTTGTGAGGGGGAGTGGCTTGGTGTGTGTGTGTGTGTGTGTGTGTGTGTGCGCAAACGGAGAGGAAGACTAGAGGTTTCACTCCCGCCAAAATCTGTCCAAAATAAGCCCAAGTCATTGGGACAATGACTCCCATTCTTAGGGCGGAGACATGAGCATGTTGTCATTATATACAGATCTCTGGTGTAAATGGAAGGTGCACAGAAGGAGACAAGATCAAAAATACAACACGAAAAGAAGCGGACATAAACACAAAAAAGTGGTTCTTGCGATACAGACATTTGGAATATCACGCAAATACATAAATCCAAATTAATTTGATATATCGCCATGCCCTAACAGTCAGTCAGTCTTCATATTCTGCAATGAAAACATTTCCAGCAAGCATTCTCATATTGCTCTCACCCACATGTATTTGTCCTTGTCTTTAGGGGGAGGTCCTGTACCGCGTTCGCTGGAAGAACTACTCATCTGACGATGACACCTGGGAGCCTGAGGCCCACCTGGAGGATTGTAGGGAGGTGCTGCTGGTCTACAAGAGGGCTCTGGCAGAGGCTAAGGTCAAGAAAGACCAAGATGCTAAGAAGGGCATGGTAAGTCCTATCCAGGAGGATCACAGCCACCATAAGAAAGGCTTGGTGAGTCTAATTGCTGGGATGGAACGTTTTAGATTTTTAGAACTGACTGTTACACTAACTACACAGAACAAAAATATAAACGCAACATGTAAAGTGTTGGTCCCATGTTTCATGAGCTGAAATAAAAGATCCCAGAAATTTTCCAGATGCACAGAAAGCTTATTTCTCCAATTTTGTGCACAAATTAGTTTACATCCCTGTTAGTGAGCATTTCTCCTTTGACAAGATAATCCATCCACCTGACAGGTGTGGCATATCAAGAAGCTGATTAAACAGCATGCTCATTACACAGGTGCACTCTGTGCTTGGGACAATAAAAGGCCACTCTAAAATGTGCAGTTTTGTCACACAACACAATGCTACAGATGTCTCAAGTTTTGAGGAAGCGCGCAATTGGCATGCTGACTGCAGGAATGTCCACCAGAGCTGTTGCCAGAGAATTGAATGTTAATTTCTCTACCATAAGCCGCCTAACGTTGTTTTAGAGAATTTGGCAACCTGCCTCCCAACCGCAGACCATGTGTAAACACGCCAGCCCAGGTCCCCTACATCCAGCTTTTTCACTGGACAGCTGATGAATCTGAGGAGTATTTCTGCCTTTTTGTGGGGAAAAACTCATTCTGATTGGCTGGGCCTGGCTCCCCAGTGGGTGGGCCTATGCCCACCCATAGCTGCGCCCCTGCCCAGTCATGTGAAATACGTAGATTAGGGCCTAATGAATTTATTTCAATTGACTGATTTCCTTATATGAACTGTAACTCAGTAAAATCGTTGAAGTTGTTGCATGTTGAGTTTATATTTTTGTTCAGTGTACATTTGATGAGTAACTGATTATCACTTTCTATGGCTGATGTGAATGTCCCCTCTTCTCTGTAGAAGCTTCCCATGAAGAGTGACGTGTTTGATGCCGACTCTGACAGTGACAGTGATAAAGACAAGCCCACAGACCTGCCTGTCAAGAAGAAGAAAAAGAAGAAGCCCCAAGAAGAAGAAGAGGAGGAGGCACCTCCCCCGAAGGAGAAGAGGAAAAAGAAGAAAGACAAGCGCAAGGAGGACTTCAGGCCTCGTCCGGCACCAGAGTCTGATGAAGAGGAGCTTTCCCCTCCCCCGACTCCGGGCCGCAGTACCAAGATGTCCGACTCCAAGAAGAGATTTGTCGAATCTGATGAAGAGGAAGAAGCCCCCGTGCCCTCCAAGAAGCACAGGAAGGACAAGGCCAAGGATGGAGGGAAGCATAGGAAAAAAGAGCACATGGAGGAAGGGAATAAGAAAAAGAAGACAAAGAAGGATCAAAGGGGTGATCTGGAGTCCACTGAAGATGAGGCCACCGCCCCCCTGGAAGAGGAGCTTAGCGAGGGGCCATCTGAGTCCCAGACGGATGATACCACAGCAACTGAAAAGTCTCGCACTGATGACAAACCCAAGAATAAGAAGGGGAAGTCAGAACTGAAGCTGCAGGGCATCAAGGACTTCCTTCAGGACAGGAAAGGCAAGAAGCCGGAAACTACGTCGCCCACGCTCTCCGCAAGCGGACTCGCAAAACTCAAGAGCCTTGCCTCCTTCAAGACCCAGAGCCGGGATGAGCCCACACCAACCTCTGACTCCAGCGACACCCCCGCCCCGGCCCACGTCCACAAGAAGGCCAAGGGCAAGAGCCAGGAGGCCACCCCTGCACCACCAAAAATCCCCTCTTCCTCATCCTCCTCTTCCTCCTCTGGTGCAGGGGCCAGCACTAGCAAGGCCCGAGAGGAGGAGTCTAAAGAGGAAGTGGGCGGGGATAAGGAACCAGCCGCCTCCACTAACCTGTTTGAGAAGTTTCTGCTGAACTGCGAGGCCAAGGACCGTGTCCCCCGCAAACAGATGGTCCACCAGCCCACCCCTGCAGAGAACACTAAACCACCGAAGGTAAACCAAGCAGCTTTGCACTAAATGTAGCGGGGTTAGCAAATCAATGCTGGTGATATAGCCAGCGGCAAGGCCCTCTCTGTTGTGGTGAAAGTCTATCTTAAGCTGCATCAAGTAAAATCTTAAATATATTTCTGTAAAAATTTCAGCTCATAGGAAAAGTTGAGAAAAGGACCAAGCCGACAAAGGAGTCACCTGCTCGGAAACCAGAGCCAGACAAGGCCAAACATACAGACGGTGAGAGGAGTTACAAGGCTCCATTGTTAAGCTTACACTATCGGGCAGGGGTGTCAAATTCATTCCATGGAGGGCCTAGTGTCTGCTGGTTTTAGTTTATTCCTTTCAATTAAGACCTAGACAACCAGGTGAGGAGTTCCTTACTAATTAGTGTCCTTTATTCATCAATCAAGTGCAAGGAAGTAGCGAAAACCCGCAGTCACTCGGCCCTCCGTGGAATGAGTTTGACACATGCTATAGGGCTTTCATTGAATTACCTATGAATGTAGTGGACGCAGCCACTACATAGTGACTCACTCAAGATGTTTTAACTGACATGATGCCTGTTGCGTATTCCACCTTTTTATTTGTTTATTTTCACTTCTCTAACATTATTTGTTCCTCTCCTTTTAATAGCATTTCGGCCCAGTCAGAGCCTCGCTGCTGTGGAGACTAGTGACAAGGCGGAGGCAGAAGAGGAACCTGCCCAGAAGTCAAAGTTTGGCGGAGAGGACCGGAGGGAGGAGGCTCAACGCTGGGAGAGGAGGACCCAAGACGATGACAGGAGGAGGAGGAGGAGGGAAGACAGCGAACCACGCCTCTTCATCGCCTGCGATGACAATCAAGACGCCTTGGAGAGCGGCGACAAGTCTGGTACGCCGTCTGGTACACCACAGAACCATCTCACATGGAAAAGTCAACACACATACAAACACTCAGTGTAGACATGCATCCGTTACAAAAATATCATATTGCTTACACCTACAGTGCATTCGGAAAGTATTCAGACCCCTTGACCTTTTCCACATTTTGTTACGTTACAGCCTTATTCTAAAATGGATTCAATTGTTTTTTCCACTCATCAATTTACACACAATACCCCATAATGACAAAGCAAAAACAGGTTTGTAGAAATGTTTGCTAATGGATTACAAATAAAAAACGGAAATATAACATTTACATAAGTATTCAGACCCTTTACTCAGTACTTTGTTGAGGCACCTTTGGCAGCGATTACAGCCTCGAGTCTTCTTGGGTATGACGCTACAAGCTTGGCACACCTGTATTTGGGGAGTTTCTCCCATTCTTCTCTGCAGATCCTCTCAAGCTCTGTCAGGTTGGATGGGGAGCGTCGCTGCACAGCTACTTTCAGGTCTCTCCAGAGATGTTCGATCGGGTTCAAGTACGGGCTCTGGCTGGGCCGCTCAAGGACATTCAGAGAGTCCTCCGTTGTGTTGGCTGTGTGCTTAGGGTCGTTGTCCTGTTGGAAGGTGAACCTTCGCCTCAGTCTGAGGTCCTGAGCACGCTGGAGCAGGTTTACATCAAGAATCTCTCTGTACTTTACTCCATTCATCTTTCCCTCGATCCTGACTAGTCTCCCAGTCCCTGCTGCTGAAGAACATCCCCACAGCATGATGCTACCACCACCATGCTTCACCATAGGTATGGTGCCAGGTTTCCTCCAGACGTGACGCTTGGCATTCAGGCCAAATAGTTCAGTCTTGGTTTCATCAGACCAAAGAATCTTGTTTCTCCTGGTCTGAGAGTCCTTTAGGTGCCTTTTGGCAAACTCCAAGCTGGCTGTTATGTGCCTTTTTACTGAAGAGTGGCTTCCGTCTGACCACTACCATAAAGGCCTGATTGGTGCAGAGATGGTTGTCCTTCTTGAAGGTTCTCTCATCTCCACAGAGGAACTCTGGAGCGCTTTCAGGCCGCTGTGTTCTTGGGGACCTTCAATGCTGCAGACATTTTGTGGTACTCTTCCCCAGATCTGTGCCTCGACAAAAAATACAGTTCAATGCATGACTGGGCACGTATAGCATGAAGTAGGCCTAGGCTATATCAGATACTGTAAGTTTCTTTTGCATGGGAAAAATGTGGCCTTTTATTAACACATTTCATGGAATTCTACTACACTTTATATGACTGGAGACAGTAGCAGAATCTTTATTTAATACGACAAAATATAGGGTAGCCTACTCTGCTGACACTGAAAAACCGATCAATAAAAACGACGTTGTCCATATAATAGGCCTACGAGAACGGGTGTCACAAATTGAATATGACGTCCATCTAAACTGGAGGAGGAAGTTATTGTTAAAATAACTACTTTTAAGTAGCACTGACCCAACAATGATAAATAGTGAATATGCGCAGTGCGCAGTCACCGGGGATATTGCAGATGGTCTCCGCTGGTGCCAATAAGAGAGGCTATACTGTTGTCCGCTAATTTAAGATCAGAATTTTGATAACTAAAAGACAGATTAGTATTTTCATTGTCTTCTCTTTACAGCAAGAACCATTTGCTTTCCAAACTATGTTTTCCTGCGATTGTATTTTGAAATATTGCGATATGCCTGGTTTGGCCTCTACTTTTCACAGACAGTCACAACTCAACAATAATCTACCCAAATTGCGCGCTGCCTTTCCGTCCGACTGTAGGCAATACTATTTAAAACAATCCACAACTTATTTTTTTAAAAGAAGCTAATGATCGTCTGTGGCCAAATCATGCTTTAGTAGCCTATTTTGAATTATTTTATTTCTGTGTAGACAGGAGTAGGCTAATTAGGCTATATAATTTTGGCAATTTACTTTAGGAAAAGCTTCCCCTAGCCTTATGGACACGCGGCCTATGCTTGCATATTAAACACATAACTGCACGTAACCTCCATTCGCTATTCGAGTGCAGGCTACTGTTTTTTCCCGCACTCCCTCGGAAATCGTTTGGAAAAAATGTCCTTTCTATTTTATTCAGCTATGTTCAATTCTATTCTTCATACTATAAAATAATATATAAAAGAATTCCCTGGAATTCTAAGCAAATCTTTTCTGCTAAATGAGCTAGTGTAGCCCACAGCCATATGGCATAGCCAGATCAGGGCCTAACATAAGGATAACTCAGAATATGCTATTCTGTTCTTCTTAAATAGGCTACATTTTCTTATGTTTCTTTAGACCGGACTAAAATAAATAATGGATTTGTTGTGATGGTGTAGGCAATATTAAATTGATTTATTAGACTTTTTAAAATGTAGATGTTCCAACTGTCTGCATCAGTGGCTTGTAGGCTATGCATAGAAACCAGGAGATGCTAAACGTGTTTATGTTAATGAATGGTCAATTACAGACAGGCAGTTATTTGCATGACAATCACCGGCTGACAACATTTCATGACCGCTACACCTATCCAATCCTTTCAGATTTACTCTATGGGTAGGGGCTGTTTCTGGACAGAGCCCCTCCAAATGGCCATGTGAAATAATACTAATGTACTATTGGATGTGGTTTGTGACTGACAGACAAAGGACAAGCCTCTCTTAACCTTGGAATGGACCTCAACTTGGACTGGATGACACTGGAGGACTTTCAGAAACATTTGAACGGAGAGGATGAGATTCTCTCTGCTCCACCGCTATCTCCCGGTAAGTGTCTACCATAAAATAAGAATACTAGAATGGACATAAACCTTCATATGGTGGTATAAAGGTCAGCCATTTTGGTCAGGGAGTTGGTCAACCATGGTTTGCCAGTGCTGTGATAAAAGCTAGCTAGCAGACCAGTTCTAGAGGAATGATTACATTAATTTGTCAAATTAACTGCCTATATGCCAACATTCCATTCAAACAATGCAGTCAATCCACAGCCATACACTGACTGAAATCAGTTTATAGGACTTGGACAAGTTGTAAAAGCAACAAGTACTGATATTGTACTATATGATAGCATTGAGAAATGTATGGTCTGTTTACATATATTTTAGATGCTATTTATACAGATTTTTTTAAAATAAAACCCATATAAACTATTTATAACCAATATAGCTGCCATTTTCACCCCATTCTGGAACTTTGAGGGTTTATGACATAACCCCTCTAGTAATTTAATAGCATCTGTATGTTGTCTACCCTCTGTATCTCATGTTTTCCCAGATGTCTCTCAACATCGGCTGTACATGAACCTCTCGCTTCCACACACTATGTAGGTAGATATAGACAACTACTGATGTGAATCTGTGTGTCCCTCAGGTGAGCTGCGGGATGCAGTGAAAAGCGGGGATTACATGTCTGTGAAACTTGCACTCAATTCCAAAGAGGACTACAATCTAGACCAGGAGGTACGTTCCGTGTTCTAAATAATATTTTTTGCCCAATCCCAGAGTACCTATTACCATTATTCTCCTCCCCACTTCCCTCCTGTCTTTGGGGAGCCCCAGCTGTTCCACCTATTTATTCAGCACTAACTAGTCACAACTAGTCAAATAAAGATGTTTACCTTTTGTTAGAGTAGCCTATGTGTGTGGTCATACTTGTGAGTTCATTCAAATGAGGACAATTTTGGGACCAACATCACAGTACTCTTTCCAACGAATACATACATTAACCAACTTGGGCAACGACAGATCTGCTTTTGAAATGTATTTTAACTACTGGATATACGTCAGCGCCAAGTGCCATAATGCATTACTCAATTAAAGCCATAATATGTAACTTTTATTCCAGAAATGATAGCAGGGGAAGTACCAATGACTGGAAATGAAGTTACAGATTGCTGCTTTAATTACATTTGTGTGTAAGTGTAGAAAGATTTTTCATTTTGCCAGTCTGGTTCAAACATAGACACAACTTGATCAACTTAGCCACTCTGATCGAGTTATAATGCAGTTTAAACATAGCACAAAACGTGAGAGCCAGTAATGGCATGCGGAGGTTGAATAGCAGGACATCGATTGCGAGGAGAGAATCCGACTGCAATACCTGCTGACTGCATCCATTGAGGACCAGTGAGCCAACAAAGGTAAGCAGATTATGCCCTTCAACTACTCAGTTATTTTAATTTAGCCTAATGGAGCTACATATGGTTTTGTAAAGATGAGTGAAGCTTGAATAGGAAAATGCAGTTTGTGAAATTAATGTTTATTGCATTGCTTAAAAGAATTAAATAATTGGCTATCATCATACTTCATAAACTGTTGTGCCAACTTGATGCCTGGAATTAATAAGTCCAAGCTTTACATTGAAATTAATGTTTTTTGTTGTGCATAGTTGGCAGATAATTTTCATACATTACTATGGAGACTGCTAGAGTGATCTAAGACGGATATGTTCTTCTCATTTACAGACCAAGGACATGATGAGCAGTAGGTTAAAGTTCACAAGAAGCTATAAGATACAACCTTTGCCTCAGGTACAGTAATGCCTTCAGAAAAGTATTCTTGTACCACCGCAGAGCATGTAAAAATGCTGCTGACTTTCGGTCATAGCAGTACTGACATTTCACTCATCTTCATTATCAACAACAACGAATAGCCCAAAGCTAAAAGGAAAAACCTTACTTTGAGTCAATCATTACAATACTGGTAACACATTTCAGCTTTTGCCATACAGTTTTCTTTGTGTACAATAAGAATTAGATATTAATGGAACAAAGCCTTTGTTCACCGTTTTAACAAACTGCTGCCATAAGCATGTATTCCGTGGAAAAGCCTTTCTTGACCGTTTAACATGTACCACTGTTTAACATGTACCGTTTAACATGTACCACTGTTTAACATGTACCGTTTAACAAACTACTGCCATAAGCATGTATTCCGTGGAAAAGCCTTTCTTGACCGTTTAACATGTACCACTGTTTAACATGTACCGTTTAACAAACTACTGCCATAAGCACGTATTCCGTCACTTAACCAAATATTTATTTACAAATTACGTAGGCTACTATTACTTGCCCAGTGTGACAGTATGCTTTTGTTTGGGTTGTTAAATATAGGCTTCTTTACTTGATGTGCAATTATAAGGACTCAATAGTATTATTACGGTCCAATCAGTGTTTTTAAGGACGCGTTCATATAAATGTAGTACCCTGCTGCTTTTAAGAGAATGGAAAGAATTATATTTCTCAAACTTACTGCTGCAACTGGTACCTGTTGGGCAAGTACCAGAATTAAGTTGGACCAGGGTTAACTCCTGAGTGGCGCAGTGGTTCTAAGGCACTGCATCGCAGTGCTAACTGTGCCACTAGAGATCCTGGTTCGAATCCAGGCTCTGTCGCAGCCGGCCGCGACCGGGAGACTCATGGGCGGCGCACAATTGGCCCAGCGTCGTCCAGGGTAGGGGAGGGAATGGCCGGCAGGGATGTAGCTCAGTTGATAGAGCATGACGTTTGCAACGCCAGGGTTGTGGGTTCGATTCCCATGGGGGGCCAGTATAAAAATAAAAATAAGTATTCACTAACTGTAAGTCGCTCTGGATAAGAGCGTCTGCTAAATGACTAAAATGTAAATGTAAAATGTTTGTTTTGCATCTTCATAGGCTTCCAAACGCTCTAGGATCTTATTCCGGTCTAATTTGTGAAAACACTCCTAAATCACCCACCAAACACTCATTATTGCATGCATGTCACAAAATACTGAATATAAATACTGAATATATATATATATATATATATATATGGAGGATTAGAAACACAGTCACTGGCAAAATGTAGGCCTAGTTGCATGGCGTTTTCTTTTCTTTACCTTCCTGGTCTCCATGCAGCATCTCATCCAACATCACAATATTAATTCCTCGTCCGACATATTTACAATGTGAAAACGCTGTAGTTCGCTGCTTAATACAATAAATCCATAAACTATTCCTTGAATGAGTCACATGTGGTTTTTATTATGGAAGTATTCAAAGTCTACACACGGTTTGGTGCTGTGTAACCATTGCATTGATTCTCGCTTGACTGTGATTGAAGTTTGAGAGCATTGTTGAGGTGCTCTTAGGCGATCATTTGAATGACTCACAATGTGTACCGCACGTGTTTTCAATTAGCTATACTATGTGGTTTTCACCATTTAGATTTCTCTGCATATGAAATGGGTCAGGGGACCCCAGATGTCTAGTATGATAGTATAGTTAACCTAATTTCTCTTTGCCACAAGTGAAATACTAACTCGCAACAGCTTTCAAGCTACTTGTGCTTTTACGTCCCACTTTTCATACATTTTAAACCAAATGCATCATGAGATTAACCTTTCATAAGGTCTTATGAATCTTACGTTTACTTGTTCTTTTACAGGCATGCACTGTTGAACAGAAGAGTATAAGTGGCAAAGATAAGCATTTAAATGAGGAAAAGAAGACTTTATGTGATGAAGAGAAGACATTAAGTAATGAAGAGAGGCCTTTATGCACAGCAGATAACCCTCACCGCAAAGGGAACCCTCACCGCGAGGGGAGTCCTCTATACAAAGAAAATAATTTACACAAGGAAGAGAATCCTTCACACGATGAAGAGAAGACTTCATGTGATGTGGAGAAGACTTTATGTGACATGGAGAGAGCTTTGTGTGACATAAAGAATTGTGCTGAAGAGAGCAGTTCAAGTGATGACGAGAACAGTTCAGGTGATAAGGTAGAAGGACAAAGACTGGATTCAAACGTCCAAAGTGGGTCAGATCCTCTTCCATCTAAAGCAGAACTCCCCTGCGATAATAATGAATCTGAGCAGTCCCCTCAAATGTCACAAGCTAAAAAACCTCGCCGCAAAAAATTTGTGCCACGGAAAGGTACAAGGTCAAACTTACGTTCTAGCTCAAAAATGACAGTCAGCACATGTAGTACGACAGATGATGGTAAAAGAAAATGGGACAAAAAGTACTTCTGCCTGTATTGCAATGAACCACACCATAAAATTGCAAGACATTTAGAAAGGATGCATGCAGAAGAAGCAGCTGTCGCTCATGCTATCAGCTTCCCCAAACTCTCCAAAATCAGGTCTCTCTTGCTTGACCAACTCCGTAACAAAGGCAACTATCTACATAACTTGGAAGTTCTTCAAAGTGGAGATGGAGAAATTGTGACAAAGAAAAGACCGTCTTACAATGGTGTTTCTGTGCGTGACTACCTGCCCTGCCAACACTGCTTAGCTTTTTTCAACAAAATAGATTTATGGAAACATGAGGGCTCATGTAAAGCCAGAAAAGGACCAGATGAAAAGAGGGGAGGAAAAAGGGTGCGGGTCCAGGCTGCGTCCTCTCGACTTCTTCCATTGCCGGTCTATTCTACTGGAGGATGTGAAGAAATAATACACAATATGAATCAAGATGACGTTCAATGCCACATCAAAAATGATCCCCTGATATGTAAATATGGCAATGCACTATCTGCAAAGCATGACCATGCCAAGTCACAGTTTACTTACATTGGATCAAAAATGAGGGAATTGGCTAGATTTGTACTTACTGTAAATGAGATGGACTGTGGTGTCCAATACCTGCATGAAGTATGTGTACCATCCAAATTCAAATTGGCCGTTCATGCTGCCAGGAAAATGAGTGGTCATGATCCTGCCTCTGACAGGTACAAGACCCCATCTCTTGCTTTAAAGATAGGCTATTCCTTGAAAAGAGCTACCGAAATAGCTTTTGGGGAGAGTCGTATGACCGAGGACCGGGAGGCAGAGGAACAAGCCAAAAGGTTCATTGAGCTTCTTGAAAACAATTGGAATAACTGTTTTTCTGGTCTATCCCTGAGCGCTGTCCCTCAGTGTGAAGTTGATGTGTCTTCACTTACTGAGGATTTGATCAAACTTCAGAAGTTTCTCAAGGTTGCAGAGGACACAACAAAGAAAGAATTGCTTGAGAGCCCCACCAACGCTGTCTGGAAAAAGCTCAATGAAACTCTTCTTGCAGAAATAGCTCTCTTCAACAGAAAAAGGACAGGAGAGGTTGCGAAAATGCTGTTGGAAACATACACAAACAGAAAGAAAGCTCCAGCTAGTGCAGACATTTTCAATAGCCTCTCAAGGCTGGAGCAGGAGCTTGGTGACGACAAACTAACCAGGGTGGAAATAAAAGGCAAAAATGGTAGAAACATGCCGGTCCTACTAACAGAGAGGATGATCTCATCTCTTGAGATCCTTATTGCAAACAGAGACAAAGTTGGTGTATCAAAGGACAACCCTTATGTCTTCGCACGGAGCCTGGACGCGGCAAGCTACGTCAGAGGGTCTGACTGTCTGAGGAAATTTGCACGTGCGTGTGATGCAAAGAATCCTGAAAGTCTGATCCATGCAACAGTGAGGAAAGAGGTTGCTATCCATTGCCAAATACTGAACTTAAATGAAAGTGAATTGGATCAAGTGGCAAAATTATTGGGACATGACACCCAGGTCCACAAAGAGTACTACAGACTCTCTGAAAATGCAGCACATCTAGCAGAAATCAGCAAATTGCTGCTTGCAATGGATCAGGTTCCAGTTGTGATTCCAGGGCCATCTGAGGAAAGGGTTGTTTCCCCTACATGTGGTGAGTATCAGTTACTTTACAGGGTATTGGACAACATTTTCATTTTGTTTCAAGGGTTAAATTATAAATATTGGGTGGATAAATCCCAGTTTAATTTGTTTTGTGCCGTTTACATGTTAACTAGATCTACATTTTTGATAAGCTTGCAACTTATTACCCTATAGTATTTGCTCTGTTCCTCTAAACAATATACAGTTAAAGTCGGAAGTTTACATACACCTTAGCCAAATACATTTAAACTCAGTTTTTCACAATTCCTAATATTTAATCCTAGTAAAAATTCCATGTCTTAGGTCTGTTAGGATCACCACTTTATTTTAAGAATGTGAAATGTCAGAATAACAGTAGAGAGAATTATTTATTTCAGCTTTTATTTATTTCATCACATTCCCAGTGGGTCAGAAGTTTACATACATTCAATTCGTTTTTGGTAGCAATGCCTTTAAATTGTTTAACTTGGGTCAAACGTTTCGGGTAGCCTTCCACAAGCTTCCCACAATAAGTTGGGTGAACTTTTTCCCATTCCTCCTGACAGAGCTGGTATAACTGTGTCAGGTTTGTAGGCCTCCTTGCTCGCATACGCTTTTTCAGTTCTGCCCACAAATGTTCTATAGGATTGAGGTCAGGGCTTTGTGATGGCCACTCCAATACCTTGACTTTGTTGTCCTTAAGCCATTTTGCCACAACTTTGGAAGTATGCTTGGGGTCATTGTCCATTTGGAAGACCCATTTGTGACCAAGCTTTAACTTCCTGACTGATGTCTTGAGATGTTGCTTCAATATATCCACATAATTTTCCTTCCTCATGATGCCATCTATTTTGTGAAGTGCACCAGTCCCTCCTGCAGCAAAGCACCCCCACAGCATGATGCCTGCACCCCAGTGCTTCATGGTTGGGATGGTGTTCTTTGGCTTGCAAGCCACCCCGCTTTTCCTCCAAACATAACGATGGTCATTATGGCCAAACAGTTCTATTTTTGTTTCATCAGACCAGAGGACATTTCTCCAAAAAGTACGATCTTTGTCCCAATGTGCAGTTGCAAACTGTAGTCTGGATTTTTTATGGCGGTTTTGGAGCAGTGGCTTCTTTCTTGCTGAGCGTCCTTTCAGGTTATGTCGATATAGGACTCGTTTTACTGTGGATATAAATACTTTTGTACCTGTTTCCTCCAGCATCTTCACAAGGTCCTTTGCTGTTGTTCTGGGATTGAGTTGCACTTTTCGCACCAAAGTACGTTAATCTCTAGGAGACAGAACGTGTCTCCTTCCTGAGCGGTATGACGGCTGCGTGGTCCCATGGTGTTTATACTTGTGTACTATTGTTTGTACAGATGAACGTGAACCAGACTTGTGGAGGTCTACAATTTTTTTTCTGAGGTCTTGGCTGATTTTTTTTTTCCTTTTCCCATGATGTCAAGCAAAGAGGCACTGAGTTTGATGGTAGGCCTTGAAATACATCCACAGGTACACCTCCAATTGACTCATATTATGTAAATTAGCCTATCAGAAGCTTCTAAAGCCATGTCATAATTTTCTGGAAGTTTCCAAGCTGTTTAAAGGCACAGTCAACTTAGTGTATGTAAACTTCTGACTCACTGGAATTGTGATACAGTGAATTATAAGTGAACTGTAAACAATTGTTGGAAAAATTACTTGTCATGCACAAAGTAGATGTCCTAACCGACTTGTCAAAACTATAGTTTGTTAACAAGAAATTTGTGGAGTGGTTGAAAAACGAGTTTTAATGACTCCAACCTAAGTGTATGTAAACTTCCGACTTCAACTGTATAATAATGGAACGTTGATTAATCCTTTTCTTCTGTATTTATTAATTTCATAGGGACATATCCAGCAGGGACAGATTCTGCAAGTACATATCCTACTGGCACATATCCCACTGGGTCATCATATCCTACAGGGACATATTCAGTGAAGTCATATACTGTAGGGGCACAGCCTTCAAGGTCATATCATGCTGGGACATATCCTGAAAAGTCATATCCTTCGGGATCGCATTCTCCGAGGTCATGTTCTGCGGAGACAGATTCTGCGAGGGCATATCCTACTGTGACACATCCTGCAGGGACCTATCCAGTAGGTTCGTATGCTTTAGGGACATACCTAGCAGAGACGCATGATGCAAGGTCATGTACTGGAGGGACACAACACGCAAATGCATATCCTACAAGTCCTTATGACCTCTCATCTCCTGCAAGATCATATTCTTCAGGTACGAATCCTGCGAGGACATATCCTGAGGGGACATATCCTGCACAGACACTTCCTGCTCAAACACTTCCAGCACGTACAGTTATTACGCCAACACTTCATGCGCAGACACTTCCTGCCCAGACACTTCCATCACAGACATTTCCTGTCGGGGCAGTGCCTGTGGGTGCAGTTCTTTTGGGGACTGTTCCTTCGGGGACAGGTTCTGTGGGGATGGGTAAGGTGGGCACAGTGTGGAAACAGAGGCCGTGGAGTGATGCGGCTAAGACTGCGGTGAACCGTCAGATGGGACACTTTATCTCAATTGATGGAGGTTCCAGGTAAACGGGACTGTGAAGTATGCCTGCACAATGAACCAGCTCTACGAGACAGGACATGGAGGGACATCAAAAACTATGTGCACAACACAGTAAAATCTATAAAACGGAAGAAGGGCCTTACAAGAGTGGACCCCACAAAACAGACAAAGAAAGGAGCGGCAAAGAAAGAAAAAGAAACCATAGAGGCTAAGAGTGCTAAGGACTGGGTTGGTGAAACAATGACAGTACCTAAACAGGGTCAAGAGGAGGGACTTGAGGCAGGTCCTGTGGCAACACCAAGGAAACAGAAGACATGGAGTAATGAGGCTCAGGCTGCGGTGAGGCGGCAGCTAGGAGACTTCACTAAACTGATGAAGATTCCAGGTAAAAGGGAATGTGACGCATGTCTTGCAGCTGAACCAGCTCTACAAGGCAGGACATGGAAAGATGTAAAAAACTATGTACATAACACATTAAAGACAATGTGCAGGAGGCATAGTTCAGGCAAACAAAACATGGACCATGAAAAAACAAGTCCATGGACACAGAATCCAGGGGTGCAACAGAATCCAGGGGTGCATCAGAAATCAGGGGTGCTGTTGGGACTACCAGAAGAGCCTCCTGTTTATCTGTCCTTATGATTACCTTGAACTAGAACCTCCCAGGGTTCAAGGTAAGCAAGGATGGAGAAAAGGATAGCTTTTGATTTAATCTGACCATCCTTGCTCACTCTGATCTCACTTTATAACGTAAAGCAAGAATGAAGTAGCATTTTAAGGATATCACTACCTACTTTATTCTACGAAGTATCTGTAGCAACGACATAGTGACATATTATGCATGAAAACTTGTTTAGTCGATAAGGGAATTTTCAGAACTTCTTTTGAACTGCAAAATGTAATTGGCAAAGTCCTTTGGCAAAGGCTACACATTTGCAACCTTGGTGAGAGGAGGCAAGTAAAGATGGACTCATACTTGTTTAGTTTATTAAACAATTCCAATGGTCCTTTATGTAAAGCCTGTCAAACTGAATCTTCTGGGTCAGCAACGGCAACAAGGCCTCATGGACGCACATTCGGAATCCAAACGCACCCCATATTTCCGTAAGACCCATGTTGCATAATAATGCCCAAGATAACTGACTGAAATATATGCTCCGCATGCATAGATAACATGTACCAAGTACAGTGAATGTTTAGTTTTTCTTCATAGATGAAAAAGTAGTGCAAACCTAGCCAGTTAATCAGATGACCATACCTTTTTAATCACATTACTGTTATACTTTACTTTCACCAAATGGATCTGGATCCAGATGTATAAAATATTTTATGTGTAGTCTTGCCTGTACCGTTGCATGTGTAGCTAATATATATGTATATGTGTAGGTTAGGTTTTGAGTTAAAACAACTGACCAGCAAACCTGGGAATTAATCAGGTTATTCCTGGTAGAAGTGTGATATGAATGAGTTTCAGGGCTCCAGACTGCGTCCTTTTAGTCGCATTTTGCAACCATTTTGTCTAGGCTGTGCAAAAAAAAAAACATGGTCGCATCGGTGCGAGCTGCACCAAACCTTCCTATTTTTTGTGGCAGCTAAAACCATGATTTGGTCAAACCGTAAAGAGCATTATCCTCATGATTCCTGTAATGGAAACCTCTTCCCCTGTGCCTGTTTCGCTGGGGCCTGCTGATGTGATGAGCAAACGGCTCTCCTCTCTGGGAGAAAACGATTTGTTCTGATTGTATAACCTTTCAAAATGCAGTTGCGGTATAAACACAGCATTAGAAGTAACTACTGTTGTCCCTGTCGAAGAGAGGAGGGTCTCGGCGTTCTGTAGGCATACTTTTTATTTCTCAATATTGAGCTCAGGAGCAACTATTTTACAAAAGCTTTTTGATATGGCTTTGCGATACGGAGCGGTGCACGAAATACACATCGGTCGTTGCGCGGGCATGTACAGTGCATTCAAAGTATTCAGACTTTTCCACATTTTGTTACTTTACAGCCTTATTCTAAAATTGATGAAATAGTTTTTTTCCCTCATGACTCTACACACAATACCCCATAATGACAAAGCAAAAACTGTTTTTTAGAAATTTTTGCAAATGTATAAAAAAACTAAAAAACGTTGTTTACATAAGTATTCAGACCCTTTGCTATGAGACTCAAAATTGAGCTCAGGTGCATTCTGTTTCCGTTGATCATCCTTGATGTTTCTACAACTTGATTGGAGTCCACCTGTGGTAAATTCAATTGATTGGACATTATTTGGAAAGGCACACACCTGTCTATATAAGGTCCCACAGTTGAGAGTACATGTCAGAGCAAAAACCAAGCCATGAGGTCGAAGGAATTGTCGGTAGAGCTCCGAGACAGGATTGTGTCGAGGCACAGATCTGGGGAAGAGTACCAAAACATTTTTGCAGCATTGAAGGTCCCCAAGAACACAGTGGCTTCCATCATTCTTAAATGGAAGAAGTTAGGAACCACAAAGACTCTTCCTAGAGCTGGCCGCCCAGCCAAACAGAGCAATCGGGGGAGAAGGGCCTTGGTCAGGGAGGCATGAACCCAATGGTCACTGACAGAGCTCTGGAGTTCCTCTGTGGACATGGGAGAGCCTTCCAGAAGTACAGGACAACCATCTCTGTAGCACTCCACCAATCAGGCCTTTATAGTAGAGTGGTTAGACAGAAGCCACTCAGTAAAATGCACCTGACAGCACGCTTGGAGTTTGCCAAAAGACACCTAAATGACTCTCAGACCATGAGAAACAAGATTCTCTGGTCTGATGAAACCAAGATTGAAGTCTATGGCCTGAATGCCAAGCGTCACGTCTGGAGGAAACCTGGCACCATCCCTACGGTGAAGCATGGTGTCAGCATCATGCTGTGGGGATGTTTTTCAGCGGCAGGGACTGGGAGACTAGTCAGGATTGAGGGAAAGATGAACGGAGAAAAGTACAGAGAGATCCTTGATGAAAACGTTCTCAGGACCTCAGACTGGGGTGAAGGTTCACCTTCCAACAGGACAACGACCCTAAACACACAGCCAAGACAACGCAGGAGTGGCATCGGGACAAGTCTCTGATGTCCTTGAGTGGCCCAGCCAGAGCTGGGACTTGAACCCGATCTCTGGAGAGACCTGACAATAGCTGTGCAGCGACGCTCCCCATCCAACCTGACAGAGCTTGAGAGGATCTGCAGAGAAGAATGGGAGGAAACTCCCCAAATACAGGTGTGCCAAGCTTGTAGAGTCATACCCAAGAAGACTTGAGGCTGTAATCGCTGCCAAAGGGGCTTCAACAAAGTACTGAGTAAAGGGTCTGAATACTTATGTAAAGGTGATATTTCATTTTTTAGTTTTTAATACATTTGATAACATTTCTAACAACCTGTTTTTGCTTTGTCATTATGGGGTATTGTGTGTGTAGATTGAGGGGGGGGGGGGGGGGGGGGGGGGGGGGGGACTATTTAATCAATTTTAGAATAAGGCTGTAACGCAGCAAAATGTGGAAAAAGTCAAGGGGTCTGAATACTTTCCGAATGCACTGTAGGTTATTACATTTACTGTTGGATTAATACATGGATACTAGCAGTGGTTATATTTATTCATGAGTTTGTGATCTAATGTGTTTTCACTTCCTCAGGTGTTGAATTATCCCCAACTTTATGTTGTAGATGTAGGCAAATCCATCTCTATTGAACAAAAAAATAACCAAATATTCTGAAGCCCTATTTTGACAGTCAAATATAACAACAGTATCCATATTGTAATCCCAGAATTCATGACAATCACAAGTATTTCGCTACACCCGCAATAACATCTGCTAAATATGTGTATGTGACCAATACAATTTGATTAGGTTGCACATCAAAATATCTTGAATCATGCATTCCTGCTTGGACATGTTAGATGAAACAACGTATATCTTGAATAGCAACTAGGGCTGACTTTATAAAATGATTACAAATGTGTTCTATTGCGTGAGGCAGTTTTTGGGGGGTGAGACCAAATCATGGGCTGGTGGCACCAACTGAAAACGTTAGTGCCACCAAGGGGAAATGTTAGTCTGGAGCCCTGGATTTACGTACTACATTTGTGCCCAGCTATTGGTTAAGCTGCTTAAAATCCACCAAATACGTAACAAATGTTTCTTTGGCTGTTCTAGAATTACTATCTTCAGATGAAGACCCAGACCACCAGCTCCTTTTGAAAATGTTTACATGTTATAAATGGATTATAAATACATGGCACATACACTATCCACATTCAATTGCTTTTGAAGCATGGTTGAGTTTATTATCATGGATATTTTACTCATGTCATTAATGTTAGTTAGCTAGTATTCCTAGCTACTGGTATGTATCAGTAGTTTTTAGATATACTGAACAAAGATATAAACGCAACATGTAACAATCTTCTAGATTTTTCAGAGTTATAGTTCATAAAAGGAAATCATTATATTGAAGTAAATTCATTAGGCCCTAATCTATGGATTTCACATGACTGGGAATACAGATCTGCATCTGTTGGTCACAGATTCCTTAAAGAAAAGTAGGGGCGTGGATTAGAAAACCAGTCAGTATCTCGTGTGACCAACCATTTGCCTCATGCAGTGCGACACATCTCCTTCGCATAGAGTTGATCAGGCTGTTGATTGTGGCCTGTGGAATGTTGTCCCACTCCTCTTCAATGGCTGTGTGAAGTTGCTGGATATTGGCGGGAACTGGAACACGCTGTCGTACACGTCAATCCAGAGCATCCCAAACATGCTCAATGGGTGACATGTCTGAATATGCTGGCCATGGAAGAACTGGGACATTTTCAAGAATTGTGTACAAATCGTTGCGACATGGGGCCGTGCATTATCATGCTGAAACATGAGTTGATGGTGGCGGATGAATGGCACGACAATGGGCCTCAGGATCTCGTCACGGTATCTCTGTGCATGCCCATTGTCGTGCCATTCATCCGCCGCCATCACCTCATGTTTCAGCATGATAACGCACAGCCCCATGTCGCAAGGATCTGTACACAATTCCTGGAAGCTAAAAATGTCCCAGTTCTTCCATGGCCAGCATATTCAGACATGTCATCCATGGCCAGCATATTCAGACATGGATCTCGTTACGGTGTCTCTGTGCATTTAAATTGCCGTCGATACAATGCACTTGTGTTCGTTGTCCGTAGCTTATGCCTGCCCATACAATAACCCCACCATCACCATGGGGCACTCTGTTCACAACATTGACATCAGCAAACCGCTCACGCACACGATGCCATACACGTGGTCGCGGTTCTGAGGCCGGTTAGACATACTGTCAAATTCTCTAAAACAACGTTGGAGGCAGCTTATGGTAGATAAATTTAACATTTAAATTCTCTGTCAGCAGCTCTGGTGGCCATTCTTGCAGTCAGAATGCCAATTGCACGCTCCCTCAACTAGAAATCTGTGGCATTGTGTTGTGTGACAAAACTGCACATTTGAGTTGCTTTTATTGTCTCCAGCACAAGGTGCACCTGTGTAATGATCATGCTGTTTAATCAGCTTCTTGATATGCCACATGTCAGGTGGGTGGAGTATCTTTGCAAAGGACAAAACGTGCACTAACATGGATGTAAACAAATTTGTGCACAAAATTGTTTGAGAAATAAGCTTTTTGTGCGTATGGAAAATTTCAGGGTTCTTTTATTTCAACTCATGAAACATGAGACCAACACTTTACATGTTGCGTTTATATTTTTTGCAATGATTGGGTTTTATCATTCATTTCAATCTTGCTTGTTTTTGTGGATATTTGCATCTAGATGTCATTTATTTTCTTTACTAAGCCAGATTCCCCCAGCTGCATGACCCAATGAGCCATCTCACTCCTGGCGAGTTGCTTTATTCAAAAGGCACTGTTGATTAGGCTTGTCAGGTGGTCAGCGTTTGCGCTTTAGGACCATTGAAAGGTTCTGTAAGGGAAAAATCTGTCCACCTAGTGCACCAGGCAAGGTCAGTGACCGATCCTAGCAAAGGGCCCATTTATGGCTGCATACCGGTTTTTCACCCTTCTCCCAAAGTGACTGGGAGTGTGCAAGTAAACACTTTTAAAGAAGTGTGGAGAATCCGGATGCAGCGTGAGTGATGGCTGATGGGTTTGGCAAGGATAGGGGTGGACTTTTCAATGGCCATCCCTTTATGTGTGGAGGCTCTAACATGATTCCTAAACCAAAGCCTTGTTTACGGTCACTAGTAACTTTACTGTAATGTTCACTAAAGTTGGTTGACTTTTCATCCTATTTGAAGCAGTTTTTGGTTCTCCAATCCACTGACTTGACCAAAAGTTACAAAATGATAAGTAACTGAAATGTGCTTTGCGGATTGGAAACAGTTCCTTCATTCTGCATGTGGAATTGGTTTCAGAGAATCACACAAACTATTCCTCTTGTACTTCAGTATTTCCTACAAATTTTGATGTGGATTATAAGGCTTTAGCTGTCCATCTACTTGTTTTATTACTAATGTCAAATTATAAACCTTTCAACGTTTTAAATTAATGTTGCTATTATTCACTGCTGTCTTAACCATATTGATTTCACAGCAGCCGTTTAAGTTCCTCAACACTAATTTAAAAGGACTAACTTGTATAGGGTTTGATAGCTGTTGCTTCTCTTATTTAATCCACTTGACTACTAATATTATATATTATGATATAATATTATTTCATCCACTTGCTTACTATTGAAAGTGCTTCTAATTGGATCAAGGTTCAAAGAAGAATCATGTAAATAATTGCTTAGTTTATAGTTATCAGTTCATGTTATAACTGCAACTGCTCTGTTAGGTGTTAACTGAGAAAAATAATCAGGGGTTTCAACCACACCCCACTTTACTGTCTAAAGACACTTACACTTTTTTTTTTTTTTCACCAACATGTATTTGTTATCAAGCTGCCTTTCGTTACCCCCGGTGCTCATTGTGTGTACTCTGAAATACTATATTTGCTTGGTTAATAAATTGTTACTTGACGTAAACTTATTAAGCTGCAAGATTCATATTCATATAGCCTACTTGATGTCTATTAGTGTTCCAACGGATTTAGAATTGTACCAATAACATTTTATGGAAAACCGCTTTGATATTTTATTATGTAATGCTAGGAATCTATCATCACCATTGCTCAGTGCTTTATGCTTTTACGAACTTTAAAACCCTTTTGGATGAAGAGACGACACCCTAGGTAAGTCGATAAGCTTAAAGTAGAAGTTAGCTTTTTTATAACCAAATCTCTTTTTGATGTAAATAGCAAGTTATAGAAGGGTCCAGACACGTTTTACGAATTATTTTTGTTTTTGAGAAACTTCCTCCAACCAGCGATTCACTTCCTCATCCTCGTAAAAAAAAAAAAGTGTCTGGACCCTTCTATAACATGCCATTTACGTCAAAGATAGAGATTTGGTTTAAAAAAACATAAAAAATAAAAGCTACATTCTCCTTTAACTTTCAAAAAAGTGAACTCCCTTTTAATTATTTAAACATTTACACAGATACATTTGGATTGCTGCCCCCCTCCCCATAGTATTTGCTACCAGAGGCTTTGGTCCTGAGTAATGAAGGAGTCTGTGTGTTGCCTCCCGCAGGACTCCAGTGGTATGTCCCTGAGTATGCTGGCAGCAGCAGGGGGACAGGATGACATCCTGAGGCTGCTGATAAAGAAGGGGGTGAAGGGGAACGGACGGCAGAAGAACGGCACCACTGCCCTAATGCACGCTGCAGAGAAGGTAACACAGGACAGACTGGTTTCAACCACCTTATTACAAACAAAGTACACATGTATAAATTCCCCTTGTTTGTATGTTAAATGTCTGTTATGCTATGTTTACTTACTAACTTAACCTCGTATCCTTTAATTTATCATTTCAGAACTTCCTGACCACAGTTGCTATCCTCCTGGAGGCAGGGTCCTACGTCAACGCTCAAACACTGGGAGGAGAGACGGCCCTGATGAAGGTACGGAGGAGGAGAACAAATAAGGGGAAAAGGGGGGAGGTGATGAAGATAAATGCTGTGTTTAATTAGGACGCAACATATCACCCCTAAAGCACAGAGATTAACCTTGTCAATTACCCCTATTTGTGAATAGCCTCATCTCTGCTGAAGTCCTGTGTGACAGATGTATTGCTATAGTTCCTTAACAGTAGCCTTGGTTCTGTAGGCATGTAAGAGGGGAAATGCTGATGTGGTGCGCCTCCTACTCGAGTATGGAGCTGACTGCAACATCCTGTCCAAACACAAGAATACGGCCATGCACTTTGCCAAGGTCAGCAACAACCTGCTGGTGTACGACCTCATCGAGGACCACATCAACATGTGAGTGTTGCTGCCATGTCACACACACACACTCTCTCTCACTCGCTCTCTGTAAACGTATGAATCGGTTTGTATAAATAAAGGTACATACAGTGGGGGAAAAAAGTATTTAGTCAGCCACCAATTGTGCAAGTTCTCCCACTTAAAAAGACGAGAGAGGCCTGTAATTTTCATCATATGTACACGTCAACTATGACAGACAAAATAAGAGAGAAAAAATCCAGAAAATCACTTTGTAGGATTTTTTATGAATTTATTTGCAAATTATGGTGGAAAATAAGTATTTGGTCAATAACAAAAGTTTCTCAATACTTTGTTATATACCCTTTGTTGGCAATGACACAGGTCAAACGTTTTTTGTAAGTCTTCACAAGGTTTTCACACACTGTTGCTGGTATTTTGGCCCATTCCTCCATGCAGATCTCCTCTAGAGCAGTGATGTTTTGGGGCTGTCGCTGGGCAACACGGACTTTCAACTCCCTCCAAAGATTTTCTATGGGGTTGAGATCTGGAGACTGGCTAGGCCACTCCAGGACCTTGAAATGCTTATTACGAAGCCACTCCTTCGTTGCCCGGGCGGTGTGTTTGGGATCATTGTCATGCTGAAAGACCCAGCCACGTTTCATCTTCAATGCCCTTGCTGATGGAAGCAGGTTTTCACTCAAAATCTCACGATACATGGCCCCATTCATTCTTTCCTTTACACGGATCAGTCGTCCTGGTCCCTTTGCAGAAAAACAGCCCCAAAGCATGATGTTTCCACCCCCATGCTTCACAGTAGGTATGGTGTTCTTTGGATGCAACTCAGCATTATTTGTCCTCCAAACACGACGAGTTGAGTTTTTACCAAAAAGTTATATTTTGGTTTCATCTGACCATATGACATTCTCCCAATCCTCTTCTGGATCATCCAAATGCACTCTAGCAAACTTCAGACGGGCCTGGACATGTACTGGCTTAAGCAGGGGGACACGTCTGCCACTGCAGGATTTGAGTCCCTGGCGGCATAGTGTGTTACTGATGGTAGGCTTTGTTACTTTGGTCCCAGCTCTCTGCAGGTCATTCACTAGGTCCCCCCGTGTGGTTCTGGGATTTTTGCTCACCGTTCTTGTGATCATTTTGACCCCACGGTGTGAGATCTTGCGTGGAGCCCCAGATCGAGGGAGATTATCAGTGGTCTTGTATATCTTCCATTTCCTAATAATTGCTCCCACAGTTGATTTCTTCAAACCAAGCTGCTTACCTATTGCAGATTCAGTCTTCCCAGCCTGGTGCAGGTCTACAATTTTGTTTCTGGTGTCCTTTGACAGCTCTTTGGTCTTGGCCATAGTGGAGTTTGGAGTGTGACTGTTTGAGGTTGTGGACAGGTGACTTTTATACTGATAACAAGTTCAAACAGGTGCCATTAATACAGGTAACGAGTGGAGGACAGAGGAGCCTCTTAAAGAATAAGTTACAGGTCTGTGAGAGCCAGAAATCTTGCTTGTTTGTAGGTGACCAAATACTTATTTTCCACCATCATTTGCAAATTAATTAATTAAAAATCCTACAATGTGATTTTCTGGATTATTTTTTCTCAATTTGTCTGTCATAGTTGACATGTACCTATGATGAAAATTACAGGCCTCTCTCATCTTTTTAAGTGGGAGAACTTGCACAATTGGTGGCTGACTAAATACTTTTTTTCCCCACTGTACAAGGTGCTGATCAGCCTACGGAACCCTAACCATGGCAGCAGTGAGGGGGCCAGCACTAAGAGTCACTGGGGCCTCATCCAGGCTCCCCTCCACGTCAGAGACATACCTCCGATGGAAACACTGTGTGTGTGTGTCTGAGTGTCTATGTCTCTGTTGTAACTGTTAATGCAGTTAAGGTCTGACAATGTTTTGGACACTTTTGGGTCTGTGTTGTGTGCCGTGTGTGTGTCCTTCCACAGGTGGTAGGAGAAACACTTGACCTGACTATATGAGAATAGAAAGGTTCAGAACTTTTTTGAAGCATCACAGCAAAGTGGAGAAATACACTGCTCAAAAAAATAAAGGGAACACTTAAACAACACAATGTAACTCCAAGTCAATCACACTTCTGTGAAATCAAACTGTCCACTTAGGAAGCAACACTGATTGACAATACATTTCACATGCTGTTGTGCAAATGGAATAGACAACAGGTGGAAATTATAGGCAATTAACAAGACACCCCCAATAAAGAAGTGGTTCTGCAGGTGGTGACCACAGACCACTTCTCAGTTCCTATGCTTCCTGGCTGATGTTTTGGTCACTTTTGAATGCTGGCGGTGCTTTCACTCTAGTGGTAGCATGAGACGGAGTCTACAACCCACACAAGTGGCTCAGGTAGTGCAGCTCATCCAGGATGGCACATCAATGCGAGCTGTGGCAAGAAGGTTTGCTGTGTCTGTCAGCGTAGTGTCCAGAGCATGGAGGCGCTACCAGGAGACAGGCCAGTACATCAGGAGACGTGGAGGAGGCCGTAGGAGGGCAACAACCCAGCAGCAGGACCGCTACCTCCGCCTTTGTGCAAGGAGGAGCAGGAGGAGCACTGCCAGAGCCCTGCAAAATGACCTCCAGCAGGCCACAAATGTGCATGTGTCTGCTCAAACGGTCAGAAACAGACTCCATGAGGGTGGTATGAGGGCCTGACATCCACAGGTGGGGGTTGTGCTTACAGCCCAACACCGTGCAGGACGTTTGGCATTTGCCAGAGAACACCAAGATTGGCAAATTCGCCACTGGCGCCCTGTGCTCTTCACAGATGAAAGCAGGTTCACACTGAGCACGTGACAGAGTCTGGAGACGCTGTGGAGAACGTTCTGCTGCCTGCAACATCCTCCAGCATGACCGGTTTGGCGGTGGGTCAGTCATGGTGTGGGGTGGCATTTCTTTGGGGGGCCGCACAGCCCTCCATGTGCTCGCCAGAGGTAGCCTGACTGCCATTAGGTACCGAGATGAGATCCTCAGACCCCTTGTGAGACCATATGCTGGTGCGGTTGGCCCTGGGTTCCTCCTAATGCAAGACAATGCTAGACCTCATGTGGCTGGAGTGTGTCAGCAGTTCCTGCAAGAGGAAGGCATTGATGCTATGGACTGGCCCGCCCGTTCCCCAGACCTGAATCCAATTGAGCACATCTGGGACATCATGTCTCGCTCCATCCACCAACGCCACGTTGCACCACAGACTGTCCAGGAGTTGGCGGATGCTTTAGTCCAGGTCTGGGAGGAGATCCCTCAGGAGACCATCCGCCACCTCATCAGGAGCATGCCCAGGCGTTGTAGGGAGGTCATACAGGCACGTGGAGGCCACACACACTACTGAGCCTCATTTTGACTTGTTTTAAGGACATTACATCAAAGTTGGATCAGCCTGTAGTGTGGTTTTCCACTTTAATTTTGAGGGTGACTCCAAATCCAGACCTCCATGGGTTGATACATTTGATTTCCATTGATAATTTTTGTGTGATTTTGGTTGTCAGCACATTCAACTATGTAAAGAAAAAAGTATTTAATAAGATTATTTCATTCATTCAGATCTAGGATGTGTTGTTTAAGTGTTCCCTTTATTTTTTTGAGCAGTGTATATGTCAGCTAGAAATCCAAACTGGATGGTCTTCAGAGATAGATGGGAGGGGTTGAGGGTAGCTGAAGGCTGGGACTAAAAACAAGCAAAAGATAACTAATGTAAAATATACTGCCTGTGAAATGTATGTAGTATGTATAAGCTGGAAGTGGAAGTATTCTTGTCCATTAGTTTACTCCAATTAGGGGAGAGGTGGTAGGGTTAGCAGAAAATAATAAAGAAGGAAAATATATTTAATTAGTTTACTCAAAAAACAAAACCAACAAACAACAACAATTGACCTGTACCATCTGTATGTGTCGAAATACAATATGTGTGTGTGCGTTTATACATTTCTACTGCCTCTGTAGAAGCATAATTCATGAGTCATCCTATATCCTTTAGGGGAACAGGAACTATTTGTCTGCATGTTTACATTCATACCGTGCACGTAATGTTCCCGAGTGGCGCAGTGCCACTAGAGATCCTGGTTCGAATCCAGGCTCTGTCGTAGCCGGCCGCGACCGGGAGACCCATGGGGCGGCGCACAAATGGCCGGCAGGGATGTAGCTCAGTTGGTAGAGCACGGGGGGCCAGTATGAAAAATACAAAAATAATGTATGCACTCTAGATAAGAGTGTCTGCTAAATGACTAAAATGTAAAATAAAGGAAACACCAACATAGTGTCTTAATAGGGCGTTGGTCCACCACAAGCCAGAACAGCATCAATGCACCTTGGCATAGATTCTACAAGTGTCTTAAACAGGTTTAGCCGGCAATTGATGGATTTTGAAAATAAATTAGTGCATGGAACTCATAGCCTATAGGCCAATGCAGCAGTAGAACTATAACTTCCATTGCTCTTGCCCACCGAAGAATAGTGATTATCGAGGGGATTGTTGTAAAGATTTTTCAAATAGCTTACTGTGAGGAACTATAGTTTTAAAAAAAAAACACTTTCCTACATTTCCGCGCAGCAGGCTCCCTCAACATTATCAGGACAGAGAAACCAGACACATGCTTATTGCTCACATGGAGTACTCCGATCAAAAGACAATGAAAACATTTACAAATCTCGTAAATAATGGTTATGAAATAAACAAAAACTTGTTTCTCACAAGTGTAGCAGGTCGTGAACTCTGCAAACAACATTTCCACTCTGAGAATGAGAACTGTAAATTACAGAAAATAATGTAACCAAATGACGGGGTTGACGGTACGTTTACTACTGGTGACATATGTAATGGGGAATTGATTTAAAAAATCTAAAAAAAAAAATTAAAAGGGCAAACGATTCACAAAATTAAACGACGAATGCGCAAGAATTGGCGGGAGACGGTTGAGCCATTCTGGAGAGAGACTGACCTATATCTTCACCACACACCCTTCCTCTTGTCTCAAAGGTTTAATTATACTCAAGACACATCATTACATTACATTTACATTTTAGTCATTTAGCAGACGCTCTTATCCAGAGCGACTTACAGTTAGTGAGTGCATACATCATTTTTATATGGCCCCCATGGGATCGAATCCAAATCTGGCTGCAACGCAGCTTACATTTTAAACAAACCGCCAGTCATTTCCTCCTACTGACAGAAGCAATGATCTCGACCTCTTTGCAACATTTTGATGCTTTTCTACTGAAGTAATTTCAATGAGTGCTATCTATTGCCGGGTTATAGCAGGCCTAATTATGATTAAATTTTGGCAATGTATTTCATTTCTTCCCTATTGGCCTCGCTGCCAGTATTTTGGTGTATTTTTTCATAACAACTTTCTTTTTTTTGTCTAAAGTACCAAAAGGCCACATGCCACTCGGTCATTGGTTGTAATAACATGTCCCAGGCACAGGTCCTTCAGAAATGTCCCATAAAAAGTCCCAAATTGGGTTGAGATGTGGTGACTGAGATGGCCATGGCATATGGTTTACGTAATTTTCATTGTTTCCACTTGTACCTTGTGGAGGGGACAATATATATGGACATTTTTTTATATGTGACCCTAAGCATTATGGGATGTTAATTGCTTAATTAACTCAGGAACCACACGTGGGTGTGTGTGTGTGTGTGTGTGGAAGCACCTGCTTTCAACATAGTTTGTATCCCTCATTTACTCAAGTGTTTCTATGATTGTGGCAGTTACCTGTATGTAACAGAGTTAAGATCGTATACCGTTTCCTCACATACTGTTAGCAGCACAGTGACGCCGGTTACACATACATATAAAATAAAATGTTCTTTCTCTCACATTCTGTCCCTCACACACACACACTCAGGTTGTCGAATGTGGCAGAGGACACTATCCGGGTGTACTTTGAGACTCGGCTGGCCCTGCTGGAGCCAGTGTTCCCTCTGGCCTGTCACAGACTGTGTGAGGGACCAGACTTCTCCCTGGAGTTCGCCTACAAACTATCGCCTCACACACCTGGAGAGGGTAGGATACACGCACAAACAGTGCAAATCCCCTCCACACTGTCTGGGGAGTGTTTAGGGAAAGCATTTCATCCCAACTAAATCTCTGTGTCTCTCCCTCTCCTCCCTCTCTCTCTCCTTTCAGGCTCAGGCATCCTGCTCTTCATCTTCCATGGTAACTTCCTGAGTGAGATCACAGCCAGGCTGTGTGGGCCATGCAGCGTCCACGCAGTGGTACTCAACGACAAGTTCCAGCTGCCTATCTTCCTGGTGAGTCTCACTCTAGATCAGGAATACTCCAGGTCTGGAGTATAGGGCTGGTTTTCTGTTCTACCTGGAAGGTGATTGAGTCACTCACCTTTTCCTCTTTCAATTACACCCCGCAGGATAGTCACTTCATCTACTCATTCAGCCCAGTGCCAGGCATCAACAAACTCTTCATTCGCCTGGCAGAGTCACCTACAGCCAAGGTACACACACACACACACACACACACCAGCAGAGTAACCTATGGCCATGGTGAGAAGGGCTCTAGGCCTAGTTACTGTAAAAGACATAGATAAGTTGTTGATCAATTACGTTTGATTAATGGACTCTTTCTCTCTCCCCAGGTGAAGCTTCTCATCTGTGCATACCGTGTTCAGCTACAGTGATGCGTAGAACCTGCCCAGTTTAGAGTTCGCAAGTTGTCTGGACCCCAAGCACATCATGGGAGATCGCATACACGCACACACACACACACACACAATAGAGATTCACACACATGCACAATCTCACAACATGGAGAACAGTTCGAGCCACACTCCAGGCTACCTTCAGATAAAGTTGTTGGACATTCAGCATCCACCCAGAGTTTGAGAGACTGTTTCTCTGGCAGAGGATTAAAGGACAAGAACAGCATCTCAACCCTGTCCAATCATGTCTATTTATGTGTGTGTGCGATTAACAGTCTAACAGAAGTCTGAGTTCTGCTTGTGTGTGTGTGTAGGGGGACAATAGCCTGATGTTGTTATGTTTGTGGGACCTGTGTGCTGTTGATGGCATCACAGGCAAGGAGTGAATGTCAGATTCTTTGGACCAAGTTACAATTACACCATTTTAGACCTTTTTACATTTTTGAAATGAAGAATTTTTGCATTTTGCCTTTCTGGAGTTGTCTATATTTTATGGTCTGTACGTACATGAGTGGGGTGTCATACATTTCAAGGATTATTGTTGATTTAGGCACCTTTGCCACTATTGGAGTGGGTTGAATTATAGCATGTACAGTGCAAGATGCTTCAGATGTTAATTTACTGAAGGGTTAACGTCACTCATGAGTGATGAATCCGGCTTCTTGGGATAAGAGGAAAACTGTTCTGATGAATCCGTTAGTCTAGGACTACATGAGCGCTTTCTAGAATGCATGATTTTAACTACTTGAACAAAATAGTCATCCAGATCACTTGTAGTTGAAGTTGTGGTTGCAATGACGATAATGCAGAGCACATCCTGGCAACGACATGCCATTGTAGACATACAATAAATATGGGATAAACATCTACTGTAATATGAATAGGAATTGCGTCCTTGTTTTATAAGATGTGGGAATTAATTTGATTCATTTGAGGATTCCTTCAGCCTTAACAGCCACATCATTGAAATAATTTACCCTTTTTTTGTCAACTGCTGTGCAAACTGGCAACAAAGTAAAACTGGGTGTAATTCACAAAAGGATAAACATGTCTGTAGTTTATTCTGAAGATTTGTCAATTTTATGTAATTTAATTACATTACTGGTCTGTCAACATTTTCCTGACGTTGTCTTTGTTTGTCTAATGTTGATTCTGCTTGATTCTACCATTTCCGGAGACCTTCTCCCTTACCTCACCTCGCTCATCAACTCATCCTTGACTGCTGGCCATGTCCCTTCTGTCTTCAAGAGGGCGAGAGTTGCACCCCTCCTCAAAAAACCTACACTCGATCCCTCCGATGTCAACAACTACAGACCAGTATCCCTTCTTTCTTTTCTCTCCAAAACTCTTGAGCGTGCCGTCTCTAGCCAACTCTCCTGCTATCTCTCTCAGAATGACCTTCTTCATCCTAACCAGTCAGGTTTCAAGACTGGTCATTCAACTGAGACTGCTCTTTTCTGTGTCACGGAGGCTCTCCGCACTGCCAAATCTAACTCTCTCCTCTGCTCTTATCCTTCTAGACCTATCTGCTGCCTTTGATACTGTGAACCATCAGATCCTCCTCTCCACCCTCTCCAAGTTGGGCATCTCCGGCGCTGCTCACTCTTGGATTGCGTCCTACCTGACAGGTCGCTCCTACCAGGTGGCGTGGCGAGAATCTGTCTCCGCACCACATGCTCTCACCACTGGTGTCCCCCAGGGCTCAGTTCTAGGCCCTCTCCTATTCTCTCTATACACCAAGTCACTTGGCTCGGTCATATCCTCACATGGTCTCTCCTATCATTGCTACGCAGACAACACACAATTAATTTTCTCCTTTCCCCCTTCTGATAACCAGGTGGCGAATCGCATCTCTGCATGTCTGGCAGACATATCAGTGTGGATGTCGTATCACCACCTCAAGCTGAACCTCGGCAAGACGGAGCTGCTCTTCCTCCCGGGGAAGGACTGCCCGCTCCATGATCTCGCAATCATGGTTGACAACTCCATTGTGTCCTCCTTCCAGAGTGCAAAGAACCTTGGCGAGACCCTGGACAACACCCTGTCGTTCTCCGCTAACATCAAAGCGGTGACCCGATCCTGCAGGTTCATGCTCTACAACATTCGCAGAGTACGACCCTACCTTACACAGAAAGCGGCACAGGTCCTAATCCAGGCACTTGTCATCTCCCGTCTGGATTACTGCAACTCGCTGTTGGCTGGGCTCCCTGCCTGTGCCATTAAACCCCTGCAACTTATCCAGAACGCTGCAGCCCATCTGGTGTTCAACCTTCCCAAGTTCTCTCATGTCACCCCGCTCCTCCACACACTGGCTTCCAGTTGAAGCTCGCATCTACTACAAAACCATGGTGCTTGCCTACGGAGCTGTCAGGGGAACGGCACCTCCTTACCTTCAGGCTCTGATCAGACCCTACACCCAAACGAGGGCACTACGTTCATCCACCTCTGGCCTGCTAGTCCCCCTACCTCTACGGAAGCACAGTTCCCGCTCAGCCCAGTCAAAGCTATTCGCTGCTCTGGCACCCCAATGGTGGAACAAGCTCCCCCACGACGCCAGGACAGCGGAGTCACTGACCACCTTCCGGAGACACTTGAAACCCTACCTCTTTAAGGAATACCTGGAATGGAATACCTGACTTTGCTCGCAGGTGCTTGTTTGAAGAAGTGTACTTACTGTGATCAAGATGTGGTTGTCCCACTGGCTATCCTAAGTTGAATGCACCAATTTGTAAGTCGCTCTGGATAAGAGCGTCTGCTAAATGACTTAAATGTCAAATGTAAATGATACATTCAGTTTGACTTCAAACACTGCCATTTTACAAGAATCTGCATATGAACTCTGTAACCCATCCCGGTTTCAGGTACCCAAGAGCCCTGGCTAACACACACACATCTGCTAGTTGGTGTAGTGAGTGAGTAGATCAGGAACAGGCTCCAACATTAATTATGCTGAAGACTAGGCTTATTTCAAGAAAATAGTGAGGTTTTATTTCTGTCTATGGTGTCTGCTGGCATACTGGTGATATGATCATCGATGCTTGGCTACTGTTTGACAAATAAAAAGTAATCTTGTTCTTTTGTCCATAATCTCATGTAGGCTATACCTGCACGGTAGGGGCTACCACCCAAATTCGCTACACAGGTGTCAGAAGTGGGATGGCACCTGTGAGAGCATCCGAGAGGCTGGTACACGTGAGGGACTTGGTATAGAGAAGCGTGGGGACACATTTATATCTGAACATCTTGTACCATTTCAATGTCCTGAACAGGCCCCTGGAAGGTCCTTTATCTTAATGTCATCAGTGGAGAGTCCTTTGAGGAAGAGCAAAGAGGGCGCGTTCCTCTGCCCAGGTGTTGCTGACGGATGATCTTACAACGCCTGGATAGTTATTTTATGATGAGCTAACCACATATGTTATAGCAATCCTGGTGCCCGACGACACGGTCGATGACGTGGCACGCAACCATTGGTCTGAGCAGGGGAACGCGACATGACGATGGAGTGGATTGAGTAACAGGTGCCAGACTCAGAGGGCTGTGGTCCAATTCTCTCCCCATCTTGTGCGCTCAGTTTTCTAGCACAAAACACCAGAAAATGGCAAAAAAATAGTAGAACCAGTTCACCTGCTTTTACACTGATTTGACTGTTATATGTTCAATGTTTCTTTTGAAAAAAATATTTAGGAATAGTTTCACCATATTAAAAGAGTTCAGTTCACTTAACAGGGTTTACCTTAAAATGAGGGACATATGTAAATTAATCACTAATCACATTAAATAAATAATAATCTTCAGGGCCTAATTTTTCAAATGTTTTAATCTGGATCAGAATGATCCGGATTCTGTAATTATCTTTTTTTGCAATACAGAATGAGATCGATCTGGCTGTTTTTAATAAAAAATAAAATTGGATAGGATCATTCTGATCCAGAGACCACAAAATCAAGTTCACAGAATCCAGATTTTCAGTGCTTTGAATAGGCCTATACCATTCCATCTACTGGACAGGTTATGGTACTACTTCTACACTATCATAGAGAAACAGAGACGAGTACATAAATACATAAACTACATTAATAAAGGTACCTATATTAAAAATAATAGAGCCTGCAGATCACTTATTTTATAAATAAGTATCAATCAATCAATCAATTTTATTTTATATAGCCCTTCGTACATCAGCTAATATCTCGAAGTGCTGTACAGAAACCCAGCCTAAAACCCCAAACAGCTAGTAATGCAGGTGTAGAAGCACGGTGGCTAGGAAAAACTCCCTAGAAAAACTCCCTAGAAAGTACACACATTTATTTGACACATCTCAATATAACAACTGACCACATACCTATACTGCAGTCAATTTAACATATTAACCTTTGGTTTTCAGATGTAAGAATGTATTTTAAACCTGTTCACCTTAATTACATTACATTTCTTTTGTCCGTGCCTTTCACCTTTCTAAATCCACCCTGAATCCACCCTTCCAGTGGGATCAAGATAATCCTGATTTTAGGCATCAAAACTATTTTAATCACCTACATTTAATCCTGATTAAAGGTCAGATTGGATTACCAAATCTGAATCCCTACCCGGGTTTTTCAGTTTTGAAAAACCCAATTCTAACATTTAATCCTATCCGATTGTTGAAATCCGTTCAGATAACTTTTGAAAAACTGGGCCCAGAAATAGCTTTGTCAAAGGAACTAAATAACTTTACAATGACAGTGAAAACGTAGGGAAATTCTGAGGTAAAGTGGGTGAAAATCGTCTTTAAAGTCAGAAAAACATGACATGGGACATGTCAAAATGCTTATTTTGGGCACTTTAGGAAGTCTTTAGCTATATTAAAAATCTAATTTATTTAATTTTCCATGTGGTTTATATTAAAGGCTCCAATCTTTAAAAAATTAAAATAAAAGATAAATGGGGCTGGCAGGTAAGATTTAGTTCCTCCCGGTCTCTGGCCCACCTTCCAGAACAGT